AAAAAATATTAGAAGTAATTCTTAAATGTTTATCTGGATAGTAATGGTGGCTTGGGAAAATTCTTTAAATAAACTTGGTTTCCTTTTGAGAGTTTAGAAAAAATGAGATTGGATTCTGGTTACATTAATTAGAATGGCTTGTTTATTAGTTTAATTTAAGATCTTAGTTGATATAGAGGTCAGTGTTAAAAAAAAAAAAAAGGACTTAACCACAGCCTTCATTTCTTACCATGGATTCAGCATGGAAAGAGAAATTTAGAAATGTAGAAAAAGAAATTTAGTGAATCAGATTTTCCTACCGTGTAAATTTTTATCATGTAAAGAGGGCATCCTTTCTCTGAAAAATATCAAACTCTTCAGAAAATTATGGTAATTAACTTTTGCCTACTAGATAGATATCAATTGCCAAATATCAGCCTAATGGGGTGGAAAATGGCTTCATATACTTGGGTTCTTGTCTGAGCTCTATACCAACTAAGTATATAGCCTTGAACAAGTCACCAACATGTATGGAATCGTTAATAAAATCAAAAATTGAACTTTGTCTTACATCAATTCTTTGGCAGCTCCCAGAGAAAACCAATTTCTTCCCTTGAAATTGAAAATAATGGTAAAATCTGGCTGTCATTTATTGAGCATGCTATCTGGCATAGTGCTAAATTCTTTACAAACATGTATTAATGAATCTTCTGTATCACTCATTGTTCTGACTTGGAGACAATAGAGCTAGTTTAGAAAACCAGCGCAGAGACTTCTTGGGAAAGCCAGAGATCAAGCTCAGAGGCTGTGCTTACCTGAACAATGCCCACATCACACCTGATGAGCTGGTCCTGTAGAGAGTCACCAGTCCCAGTCAGACTACATTCACATTGTTGCTGCTGAGACTAGAGACCAGACGCTTTGCCCTTGCTGGATCAGTCACATGTGACACTTCAAACAACACCATAGTCTACAGGTAGACTGCACATCTTTGCCACCTCACACTGCTCACTTTCAAACCAGTCCAAGACAGATGCTTCTGATCAGCAGCACCTAGAGTAGCTACCAGTAGTCCTGCTACAAGAGGAAACTGGGAAACAAATTTTTGGATTCTACCTCAGGAAGGAAGAATCAGAAAATGAAATTTTTGGTTCATATTTTAGAGATAGTAAAAGTACAGCTGAAACTTAAAGTACCCGTAGATTAACTAGTTATACTGCTCCTAAGTAATTTAATAAAATTTATACCTAGATTTTCTTGATTGCAAAGATACTCTTTGACACTCTGCTATATGGGTACTTTATGGTGATTAAGCTTTCCTCATAAGGATCAAGAGAACAATAAAATCTCTAATTTTCCAGATGAAAGTTTGTTTCCCAACTTTTTCTCTTTCACCATTACCCATCTCTACTCCCTTCTTTGCCAAATTCAGAGACATGTATTCCTTCATTGCATTTTTGTAATCCATATAAGTCAGGACTCTTGGCTACAAGCAAACGAAATCAACATGGTTAAGTTTAAGAAGAAAAGGAGTTTGTTGAAAGTATTTTAAGCCTGTCAAAAATTACAAAATATCTGGATAGCCAAGCTCATAAAATGTGCAGAAACTAAGGAAAGTCACACAATTGAAGCCACAGCTAAGGCCACATCACAGGAACTGCTGCCCCCAACTGGACACTGGACACTACCACTACTGCCAATGAACATGACCACTAGACAGAATAAATTCACTTACCTGATTTTTATCACTTGCTGTTTATTAAAAACTGAACACTGAATGGCCAAACTTGGGGTGGAGAGAGCAAAGGCTTAGTGGATTTTGTAGATGGAGGGTAGGCCCTGCCTCCATCAGGATTCCTACAGAAGATTGCCCAACCTAGAAATGTGGTTCAGATGCTGGCATGGTAAACAGAGGATCTGAGATGAGGCAAATCAATTCTGATGTTTTGGTGTCAGAGATCCAGCTCTTCAGGGATATGGACCCTTATCACAATTACATAAGTCATTTGCTCATTAACCTGTTCCCCAGCCCCTGGGGAATATCTGGGGTCTTCCTTATGTAAGGGAGATGGAAATGGGCTGCAGGACTGTGGGAGATGGGCAAGGTCTTGTCCATGGAGTAGAAAACAAAGAAGGGTTGTGGCAAGGCTCAGATATAACTCATGATGGAGGAAGATATTTATTAGCTCTTTAGCAGAGGTATGGTTCAGATATTTTACCTCATTCCATAGACTGTCTCTTCCTGTTGATTTTTTTTTTTTTCTGCACATAAGTTTTTAGTACCTCTAGCTTTGTTCTTTTTGCTCAAAATTGCTTTGGCTGTTCAGAGTCCATGAGATCCATATGAATTTCAGGATTTTCTACTTCTGTGAAAAATAATTTTGATAGGTATTTCATTGAACATGTAGGTTGCTTGAGTGGTACATACTGTATATTAACTTCTAAGCCATAACCATAGGATATCATTCTATCCATTTATGTCTTCTTTAGTTTCTTTCATCAGTTCTTAATAGTTTTCAGTATATAGCTCTTTTACCCCTTAAGTTAATTTTATTGCTAGGTATTCTGTCCTTTTAAATGCTATTATAAATAGGATTATTTCCTTGATTTATTTTTTAGATAATCCATAATTATTGCATAAAAATGCTACTCTTCTTTGAGTTGGTTTTGTACCTTGAAACTTTACTGAACTAATTTTTAATTCTAGAATTTTTTAGTGGAATCTATATATATTATATATCATGATATCTACAAATAAAGATAATTTAACTTCCTCCTTTATGATATAGATACCTTTTATTTCTATTTCTAAATTGCTTTGCCTAAAGCCTCTAGTGCTATGTTGAATACAAGTGGAAAGAGTATCATCTTGTTTTATTCCTGATCTTAGAAGAAAAGCTTTCAGCTTTTCATTAGTGAATATGACTTTAGCTATGGGATTGTCATACATGAACTTTATTATATTGAGGTACATACTTTCTATACCTAATTTTTTAGAGTTTTATCATGTAAAATGTTTAAATTTGTCAAATGCTTTTTCTGCATCTATTGATATGGTCATGTGGTTTCCTAAAAAAAAAAAATAGAACCACCTTATGATCCAGCAATTTCACTTCTGGATATATATATATATCCAAATGAAATGAAACCAGTATGTTGAAGAGATATTGCCATACAATTCATTCTTGTTTTATTTGTTTATTTTTGGTATTGGGCATTGAACTCAGGGGTTCTTAGCCACTGAGCCACATTCCCAGTCTTTTTATTTTTTATTTTGAGACAGGGTCTTGCTAAGCTGCTTAGGGCCTTACTAAATTTCTAAGACTGGCCTTGAAGTTGAGATCATCCTGCCTCCTGGGTTTCTGGGATTATAGGCCCATGCCACCATGCCCAGCTATTCATTCTTTAAAAATAAAGAAAATCCCATCATTTGCAACAACCTGAATGAACATGGAGGTTGTTATGTTAAGTGAAATAATCCAGGCACAAAAGATTAATATTGCATGATCTCACTTACACATGGATCTAAAAAAGTCAAACTCATAGATACAGATAGCAAAATGGTGGTTACTTGGGGGTGGGGGTGGGGGACAAGAAGGAACAGGAATCATCAAAAGATGCAAAATTTCAGTTACAATTCAGAAGACTCATTGTAGTTTATGGTATCTTCAGTTAATAATAATGTTATATACTTGAAAATTGCAAAGAGAATAGATTTTAAATGTTCTCATCACAAAAATTAAATATGTGAAGAAGTTGATAAATTAATTAATTTGATTTAATAATTTTATAATGTATACTTATATTACAGCATCATATTATATGCCATAAATATATTAAATATTTATCTACCAATTATATACATACATATATATGTGTGTATATATATATGTGGGTTTATATATATATGTGTGTGTGTGTATATGTATATATATACATAATGTGTGTGTATATATATGTGTATATATACATATGTGTGTGTGTGTATATATATGTATATACACACACACACACATAGGATAACCATAGGATATATATACACACACACACATATAGAATATATATATACATATATTTTATTATTTATAACTTTTTATTATTTTATTATTTATGATTTTTAGTGTGTGTGTATGTGTGTGTGTGTTTGTGTGTGTGTGTGTGTGTGTATATATATATATATATATATATATATATATATACAATTTTTTGTACCAGTATTGAACTGAGGGGTGCTTAACCATTGAGCCACATTCCCAGCCCTTTTTATTTTTTATTTTGAGACAGGGTCTCACTGAGTTGCTTAGGTCCTCACTAATTTGCTGAGACTGGCTTTGAACTCATAATCCTCCTGCCATAGCCTCCCAAGCAGCTGAAATTACAAGTGTATGCCACCATGCCTGGCTAAAATAGATAGTATTTTAAAAGATAGTATACACAGGCAGTCATGATTTGTGGTGGAAGTGGGCAGTTCAACATGAAATTTTGCACCTGTTTCTAGGTGGATTCATTTCACTGCTCCATTCTTCTACAGGTGTTGACATCAGTATGACCTGTTCTGTTGAATAAACCACTTACTTTCACTATCCATACGTTACTCTCAATAAAGCCAAAGGGTTGAACTAGATGGTCTATCTCAAAAGTCCTTTCCAATTCTGAAATGTTCTAAATTGAACATTTTCCAGATACTGGGCCATCCTCTTGGGTCTTGTAGTCAGTAGCTCAGATCAGCAAGGTAATCATCTCTCCTCAGTCTTGCAGGGCAGAAAGGCCATAACCATGACCTTGCTCTCTCTGTGTCCCATCGCTGATACCCACAGAACACACCCCTTCAACTGCAGGCCAAAGAAAAGCATGAGGAAGAAAAACTGAATCCTATTAAATAAATAATTTCTACTTCTAATGAATTAAGTAAAAAAATCTCTAAAAATGTTAGAAGAGAAACATATTCCAAAACCTAAAAAGGAAAGATTAATCCAAATGGGCTTAAGGTCCCATTTACTGATGTGAATTTTCTGCCCCAGGGAGAAGCAAAGATGATGAAAGATGGGAAGGTCTTCAGAGTGGTCCAAGAGAACTGTTGGGATCCAGAAGTTCGTATTAGAGAAATGGATCAAAAAGGTACTTAAAATAAGAAATGCTACCAATGTATGTGTCTGATATAAAAACAACGTCTGCCTTTAAAGTTTGTTAACTGGCATGACCTACCCAGGAACAACTTCTGATCTTTTTCTTTGCCAGGACATGCTGTTCCAGCTTCTGTGGGGAAGAGAGAGGCTTCCACTATAATGCTTTTAAAGTATGGATTTTTAAAATGCTTTGCAATTAGTTGAATTCTGTTTAAAGTAGAATACTGTATCATCAAAAAGATAATAGTAGCATTTTATTATTTATAACTTTTCCTTCAAATTATTGTAGAATCAATCAAAATTAGAAATGACAGATTAAGGATGTCAATTGTCTGCTTAGTCAAACTTGGGATCCAATTTCTTTCTTTTCTTTTTTTTTAACAGATACAACATTTTTTATATCTTTATTTTATTTATTCACTTTTATGTGGTGCTGTGGATCAAATCCAGTACCTCACACATGCTAGGCAAATACTCTACCACTGAGCCACAGCCACAGCTCGGACCCAATTTCTTTTTATCTCAGTGCACTAGATAGGTAGGTAGTTAGGTAGGTAGTTAGGTAGGCAGATAGATAGATAGATAGATAGATAGATAGATAGATACACAGACAGATCTACTGACACAAAAGGGGTATAAGGTTAAAAAAAAGGTAATTGTGCAATCTCAGAGTACTCTATGATGAAAGCAATCTGAGAATCTGAAAGAAGAGGATTAGGAAATTTTTGTTTCAAAGCTGAATTGCTAACAATTTCTAGGAACTACTTGCATTCCTTATATCTAAAAAGAAAACAAGTCCTCACGATTAAGAATTTCAAAGACTATCTAAAATATATGATGGCCACATTATGCTTTCATTTATTACTTCCTGGATGACTATGCTCCCTGAGGAAAGCATGCTCCAAGAAAATGCATCAAACCTTTCAGACTTACACGAACCAAGCCCATTCTGGGAAATTCACCCCTTCTGGCACTACCAGTCCTCAATTGTGACATTGGTGATCTAAATTTGAACCAGAAAACAAACAACACACTCATACACACACACACACACACACACACACACACACACACCAGTTTAGAACTACCATTTTCCTAATCAAAGAAAGAAAAATTTAGAAGTTTATATATATTTATACAGAGAGAGAGAGTAGAAGACTTTGATTTTATTCCAAGGACTCAACCTGGCAGCCCAAAATGACTAAGTGGTCTCTGGTATGTTAGAATCTATAGGAAACTTTTGTCTAGGTGTGGCTTTCCATTTTTCATTTATTGTTTGTTTGTTTATTGGCACCAGGGATTGAACCCAGGGGGACTGACTTAGCCACATCCCCGGCCCTTTTTATTTTTTATTTTGAGACATGGGTAAGTTGCTTAGGGCCTTGTTAAATTGCTGAGACTGGTTTTGAAATTGCAATCCTCTGCCTCAGCCTCCTAAGCTGCTGGGATTGCAGGAGTGTGCCACCACGCCAAGCTGCTTTCTATATTTTTTAACAATTTAAAATATACCTTTATAGCCTGGCATAGCGGCACATACTTCTAATCCTGGCAATGCAAAACAAAATAAAATATTTATATAAATATTTTAAATATAAATACTTCATATATGTTTTAAAGATAAATATTTTAAATATATTTTAAATATAAAATAATATAAAAAATGTCTCAAAATTTAAAAAATGGGCTGGGGATGTGGCTCAGCAGTTAAATGCCCCTGGGTATAATCCCTGGGTACCAATTCCTGGAATATATATATGTCTCTATATAAATTTTATATATAAATTACACACACACACACACACACACACACATATCCCTAGGTGGCATTTAAATGGAACTTTTCAGAATCTGAAGCACTTCCCTGTTCTAAGAGTACATTAGGAGAGAAGCAGAGCTGGAGAAGAACATGCTTCCTAGATCTACAATAAAAAGCAAGGCTTTGCTATAGATGTGAATGGATAAAAATGGCCCATGCTTTCAAGGAGAAAACTAGTGGGAATGAGACTTGGCTGACTAGTGTCAGAAATCATTTATGGCTGTAGTATAGATGGAAGTACATGTCTCTTTGGCTATTGTTGTTTCAATCCATTGCTATCATTGAGAAAATAGTCATGACTAATCCTTACTGAACATTTACTTTGTGTCACACACTGTTCTGAACACCCAACAGGTATTGATTCATTTAATTCCTACAACAGCTCCGGGAGGTAGGCATTCTTGAAGACAAGTGATTCTTGGCATCCTAGATTCTGGAGCCAAACTCAGGATCCCATTCTGGATATTTCAGACAATGAGGCTCCAACTAGGCTGATTTAGGAGCTGAATTAAGAGGGTAGGGAAGAGTGCTGAGAGATACATTGTCATATATGACCTAAGTTGAAAAATCCTGGCAGGGGTGGAGGGGCAGGGAACAGTGGAAAATGTCTTCCTTAAAGGAGGGTGGAAGAAACTCCTGGTCAATGATTCAACTTATTTTTCTTGAATGACCTAATTTTGGTCCAACCTTTACCTCTCTCCCAAGATCTTAGGCTGATGGATGAGTAGGTCTGGGAAATGGCCTGAGAGAAGGGGCACAGGGAGGAGCACCCAGGGAGAGGTGACAGGAGGAGGTTGGGGCAGAGGCTTGCTGGTCTCTTCGCTCTGGGAAAGGCAGTAGTGCCTGGGTTATTCTTCTCACCACCTTTGCTTTTCTTTGTGTCTGTGTCTAGGAGTATCAGTGCAAGCTCTTTCCACCGTTCCTGTCATGTTTAGCTACTGGGTGAGTATGAAACTTCAGACCATCACCCTAGTGAGAAATGCTCATGTCCAGCTCCCCAACAAGTGACCAAGGCTCCCCCTCCCCCAACAATAGCAGCATCCTCTCCCAGGCCTGTCTTCTTAGCCATGTCCTTGCTCCAGAACAATAGCCAGGAGTATGTGACTCACATTAAAGTTCCACTAGAACTCAACCTTCATGTCTACCAGAATGTACCTGTCTGGTGACTCATTCCTGCAATGCCTTGCTGGGGAACTGACAAGCCAGTTTATTCTGAGGTGAGAATGATTTTGAAAAAAGATGATCACAGCCTAATGTGTTGCTTCTCCCAAGGAAATATATAATTCAAAGTGAAAGTCCTGAACTTGGATCCCTTTCCTCAAGTTAATAAATCTCAAGCACTGAAAATTTCAGGCATGATTTGGAGCCTGCTGAGGGAAATTTCTGTGTAGAGTTGAAGTTGTACTAAATACCTGCCCAGCCAAGCAGATATTCACTCCTCTTATGATTTAAGAAGTAATGGAAATACCACCCATTCCATATACTTCCCCAACCTGTGTTCATAAATCCAGTATTAGAGGTTTAGTCCTTCTCTGCTCCTGTGTTTAGATTCACTACTTAAATAAAATGCCTTAAAACCTCAGTATGCCTGAACTTATCAAACTAAGCATCACTCTGACAAGACAACTGGAATTGCGAGTACCGAATTCCTGGCAGTGGGGTGATGTTGAAAGGAAGAAGACAGTGCAGAAGAGAGAGTTAGAGAAACCAAAAGCAAAATTTATCTGTCTTAGCCTTTTGCTGAGTCTAGCTCCAAGTGTCATAGCCAATAGAAAGGATACATAAGAGGACAGACAGGGATGGTAGAGGTCTGTGAGCAAGGCTAGCATCCCTAAAAGAAGAGTGACAAAAATGTGAACTGATGGTAGTTGGGCCAGATACAGCCTCCTAACTGAGGAAGCCATCAAAATCTGTCTGCAATTGGTGGTGGCCCATTTTCATTTTGTCTCTAATATGAAATGGCCCAGTAATTAGGATGCCAGTCCCAGTAATCTATTCTAGCTTCAATTTTTCTAAGTGACCAGTATACACTGGCAGTTTTCTTTGATATTTACAAAGATTGGGTCTTCTGTAGGGAGTGCCTTTCTCATTCTGTACCTCAGCTTTATGATGGGTAAAGCCATTGAGAAGGACAAATAGTTTAGCCAAGAGAGGCATTGTTTAGAGTAAATGACTAAAGAAGTAGGTTTTGAACAACATAGTTTTCCCTCTCCTGTTTCCACCAGGCCAAACCTCAAGACACTTTGGATCTATGCCAACTTTTAAACAACAACATAGCTGCCACTGTTGCCAGCCACCCCAGGAGGTTCGTGGGTCTGGGGACATTACCCATGCAGGCTCCAGAGCTGGCCATCAAGGAGATGGAGCGCTGTGTGCAGGAGCTGGGGTTTCCAGGGGTCCAAATTGGCTCCCACATCAATAAGTGGAACCTGAATGAGCAGGAACTCTTCCCGGTCTATGCAGTGAGTACACAGCTGTCACTCAACCAAGGCGTAGCCCCAGAACACCTAGCTGGGGACAGGCATCTTGCTAGGTGCTAGTAGGAAGACACAGGCACCTCCCACCGGGGTGGAAGACAGAAATGACTTATATGTAGACAGGAGATGTGGAAATCCTCTACCAAAACTCCTCCCAAAAAAGGAATGGGTCATTCTACAGAAGAAGGGCAATGTAAATACTTCCTAAGCCAGTTCTGAGTTAACTCAGTGATGACATATCTCTTCTTCCTATCATTCTTGTTCTCTTTTTAATCTTTTATTTGGAAGCCTAAATATCACCCTCATCACAAGCATTGTGTATAGTACCATGTCAATGCCAGAAAATTTGGGTTTTCTTTGGGAAAAAATACTTAATGTATTTCAAAAATATGAAATAAATTTGAAGAAACTATGGAAAATACAGAAAAATATAAATAAATAAAAAGTCACCCTTAATCCTGCAACTCAAAGTAACAACCGTTGTAGTACATTTTGTTTTTTTAAAACTGCATATATCCTAAGCCAACCTCAGCAACTTAGCAAGGCCCTAAGCAACTAAGTGAGACCCTGTCTTTAAATAAAATGCAAAAAAGGGCTGAGGTATGGCTTAGTGGTTAAGTGACCCTGAGTTGAATCCCTGGTACAAAAAGAAAAAAACTTCATATATCCATACTTTAACAAAACTGACATTTTTTTACACATGTGTTTTCAAATGCTAATTGAGAACTCAAACTAAATGAAATTTATCTTAATGTATGATTTTTAACTGCAGAATATTCTAATATATGGATTTATTTTTATTTATTTAACCTGACCTCAATTAAGAAACTTTTTAAATTATTTTTTATTTATTTATGATCAGCAGAATGCATTACAATTCTTATTACACATATAGAGCACAATTTTTCATATCTCTAGTTGTATACAAAGTATATTCACATCAATTCGTGTTTTCATACATGTACTTTGGATAATAATGTCCATTACATTCCACCATCATTTCTAACCCCATGGCCCCTCCCTTCTCTTCCCATCCCTCTGCCCTATCTAGAGTTCGTTTATTCCTCCCATGCTCCCCCTCCCTACCCACTATGAATCAGCCTCTTTATATCAGAGAAAACATTCAGCATTTGGTTTTTTGGGATTGGCTAATTTCACTTAGCATTATCTTCTCCAACTCCATCCATTTACCTGCAAATGCCATGATTTTATTCTCTTTAATTGCTGAGTAATATTCCATTGTGTATATATACCACATTTTTAAATCCATTCATCTATTGAAGGGAATCTAGGTTGGTTCCATAATTTGGCTATTGTGATTGTGCTGCTATAAACATTGATGTGGCTGTGTCCCTGTAGTATGCTGTTTTTAAGTCCTTTGGGTATAGACTGAGGAGAGGGATACTTGGGTCAAATGGTGGCTCCATTCCCAGTTTTCCAAGAAATCTCCATACTGCTTTCCATATTGGCTGCACCAATTTGCAGTCCCACCAGCAGTGTATGAGTGTACCTTTTCCCCCACATCCTTGCCAATACTTGTTGTTTATCTTCATAATAGCTGCCATTCTGACTGGAGTAAGATAAAATCTTAGAGTAGTTTTGATTTGTATTTCTCTAATTGCTAATGATGTTGAACATTTTTTCATGTGTTTTTTGATTGATTATATATCATCTTCTGAGAAGTGTGTGTTTAGGTCCTTGGCCTACTTATTGATTGGTTTATTTATTTTTTTGGTGCTTAGCTTTTTGAGTTCTTTATATACCCTAGAGATTAATGCTCTATCTGATGTGTGAGGGGTAAAGATTTGCTCCCAATATGTAGGCTCTCTATTCACCTCACAGATTGTTTCTTTGGCTGAGAAGAAACTTTTTAGTTTGAGTCCGTACCATTTATTGATTCTTGATTTTAATTCTTGTGCCAAAGAAGTCTTATTAAGGAAGTTAATCTCCATCCCACATGATGGACATTAGGGCCTACTTTTTCTTCTATTAGATGTAGGGTCTCTGGTTTTATTCCTAGGTCCTTGATCCATTTTGAGTTAAGTTTTGTGCATGATAAGAGATAGGAGTTTAATTTCATTTTATTGCATATGGATTTCCAGTTTTCCCACCACCATTTGTTGAAGAGGCTACCTTTTCTTCAATGCATGTTTTTGGCAACTTTGTCTAATATCAGATAATTGAAATTTTGTAGGTTAGACTTTGTGTCCTCTATTTGGTACCATTGGTCTACCAGTTGGTTTTGGTACCAATACCATGCTGTTTTTGTTACAATTGCTGTACAGTATATTTAAGGTCTAGTATAGTGATGCCACCTGCTTCACTCTTCCTGCTAAAGATTGCTTTAGCTATTCTGGGTCTCTTATTTTTCCAGATGAATTTCATGACTGCTTTTTCTATTTCTATGAGGAATATCATAGGGATTTTGATTGGAATTGCATTAAATCTGTACAGTGATTTTGGTAGTATGGTCATTTTGATAATATTTTGACTTCTTTCTTTAAGGTTCTGTAATTTTCATTATATAGATCTTTCACCTCTTTCACTAAGTTGAATCCCAAGTATTTTTTTTTTGGGGGGGGGAGTCTATTGTAAATGGGGTAGTTTTCCTCATTTCCCTTTCACAGGATTTGTCACTTATATACAGAAATGCCTTTGATTTATAAGTGTTGATTTTATATCCTGCTACTTTGCTGAATTAATTTAATAGTTCTAGAAGTTTTCTGGTGGAACTTTTATGGTCTTCTAGTTATAGAATCATATCATCACCAAATAGTGCCAATTTGAGTTCTTCTTTTCCTATGTGTATCCCTTTCATTTCTTTCATCTGTCTAATTGCTCTGGCCAGTGTTTCAAGAACTATATTAAATAGAAGTGATGAAAGAGGGCATTCCTTGTCTTGTTCCAGTTTTTAGAGGGAATGCTTTCAATTTTTCTCCATTTAGAATGATGTTGGCCTGGGGCTTAGCATAGATATCTTTTATGATGTTGAGATATGTTCCTGTTATCCCTAATTTTTCTAGTGTTTTGAACATGAAGGGGTGCTATATTTTGTCAAATGCTTTTTCTGTGTCTAATCTATTAAGAAACTTATAAAACCACATATTTTGAAAATGTATAGTAAAAATCCATAGTGAAAAATTATGCCATGAAATTGTTAACATTTGATGAAATTAGATGGTGAGAATATCAATGTTTGTTGAACTATTGTTTATGCTTTCTATATTTAAATTACTTCAAAATAAAATAACTTTCAAATATTCAGTGCCATCCATTTTTGAAGAACCCAACTTCAAACATGTATCACTTCACAATTCTATTATCAGCCCTCTTCTTCTTCTTTCTGTTTCTTCTGTAACTAAACCTGCTATACTCAATATCAGAATTCAAGATGCATGATTCTTTACTCAATTGCATTTTCTAAATTCCTTACTTCCCTCCTAGAATTACAATGACTGATTCACTTTGTAATCTTTTCATTGTAAGTGCAAAATCTTTAATAATGTATTAAATAGACATTTATGGACTCACCAGGCACCCTACTCACTATCATTTATTCATTTTTATTCATTTAATATTTATTGAGCTCTAATTACTTGCAAAAATATCTATGGTAACTGCTCACCAGTTGGGGGATTACCTGTTAAATTGCCTCCTAATGACCTGAAACATTTCATGTTCCTCTAAATATTGAACTCCAGGAAGCTTATTGGCTGCAGTGGCATAGTTGATACAGTGATGTTTCCTGGAAACCTTAATGAGCTTTGAAAAATGATTTATTTACTTGTGCATCCAAGTTGTTTCAGCACAGTGTGAGTGAAACTTCAGTTGCAAGTCATTTTATTATTCATTGGAATCAAATATATGAATTAATAAGGGGCTTAGAAAGTAATAGCAGCCAATTGGAGTCCACATAGATATTTTCATTTGTGTGACTATCTCATCAATCATTCTAACTATATTGAGGGGCTGCCAGTCTCTGAAGGATTCAGGAGCACATCCTGACCCCAGTGGACTTGTAATGTCCTGGGGTTGACAGCACATTTGTTTGGTTAGCAAGGCTTGCCTGCCTCACTGCTCTCTAGTTTGCGTCAGTAACCTGCTCAAACAAATGAGGAATTTCTGAGAGCCAAATTGGCTTGGTCATTTTAAAGTAAGCCTGGTGCTCCAGAGCATCTAACTGTCCCCTTAATCTCCAAGATCTCTGTTGCTAGTGAGTAAACCAAATTACACATGCTCAAGTCAGTTTTTAGGTACAAAAATGACATTGTTACTGCTACAAGGCAGATGGAATGGTAGTACTAGATTGCCTGGCTCTACCATTTTTCTGCCAGGAATACTGAGTAAGTTACTTAGACTCCATCTACCTCAATTTCCTTCTTTGTAAAATGAGGAGGAATAAGAGTGTTTATCTCATAAAGGATTAAATTAGTCCATAATTGTCAAATTCTTATAACAACTTCAGCACATGGTAAGTTCTCAGTGAATGTTAGCTGTGCTTTTGAGAGTATAAGTGACTTTATGTAGAGATACAATGCCTTATGTACATAAGGAGATCTTTTAAATATTGATTTAAATTGAATTGAAGTAAACCATCATAGGCACATAGATTAAAGTGTTATCTAATGAGGACTCAAATACTACTGAGATGTGCCTTTGCCAAACCCAAACTGTCCCCAAGAAGATGTTATTCTCTTTCCAAACTGCATTCATTATCAGAAATCAATTAGCTCCTCTCCTTTCAAAAGGCTTGCATTTCTCTGCTCCCCAGAATCGGTTGAGTTAGAAATCTTCTTCAATTTATCCTTTGTCAGCCATTTCCAGAATTCCCTTTTGTCCAAAATTGTTTTTCCATTTTTAAAATGCTTATGTACACAAGTCACATTGCATCAGCCCAGTTAGCACAAATATTTATGCATGAAGATAGGATGAGTCACTCCAGCACCCCAATACATTTGAAAAGAAAATGTTCTAAGGAAAATGTGTTTTGAACCTTAGTAAACACTAATATTCAATGCTTGTTGAGGGAACTTATCTTAATTAAACATTCTGTTGAATAAAGGTCATTCTATCCAGATTGTGTTTCCATTTCCCAGAAGTCCGTGGAGCAGGTTTGTCCATGACATTTATCTTAAAACCTGCCAGGCTCAGGCACTGAGAGCTCTTACCTCTCTGAGGTGATCTCATTCACAGCAGACTGTTCAGGGATTCATCTGGGCTCTGGGGACTGTGTGAGTGCCTATAGACCCCAGAAGTCACCACCCACTGTTGGGTTCTGAATGGCTCAGTAGTTCATGCGTCAGCCCAGCCCTGAAACACTGGTCTCCAATCATCATTGTCTCATTTTCTATAGCCTCAGGTTTCCAAGTGGAAAAAAAGAAAGGAGCATTCCTGCCCTGACTTCAAGAATATCACCTCTCTACTGTCTTTCCCAAAGAGAGGACCATGTAGGAGCCAGCAGGGAAATGTGCCCCCACATTGGAGGTGTGGGATTATTAGTTCCTAGACATTTTGCCCCCAAAGAACATTTGTGAGTGATGGCTATTTCCTGTGACTTGTTCTGCCAAACAATATATTAAATGCATCAACCTCAATGGTAAATCCACCAATTCCCTTTGTTAATTCTAAATGTCCTTTTTATTTCCCAAACAGGAGCAGAGTTGATCAATGATTCGATTATTTAGATCAAGAAACAATTTCAACAATATTTCAGTTTATTTATTCAGATAAACAGTTTCCCTAAAACAGTACCTTGTATTTGCTGGCTCCTTCAAATAACCTCTCTCTTTCTCATTGCTTCTTTGAAGGCAGCTGAACGGCTGAACTGCTCCCTGTTTGTGCACCCTTGGGACATGCAGATGGATGGGCGGATGGCTAAATATTGGCTTCCTTGGCTTGTAGGTTTGTGTCAGCTTGGGGTCTGAAACAGACACCAAACCTTGGGTTTTTCCAGTCATCTCTGAAACCCTCTTGTCAAGAGAGAAAATATGAATAATTAACATGATTGAAAATAATAGCAACTGCCATTTATTGAGCAAAGAAGTGCTGTATATATTACTGTTTGATTTTAATCATATCTAGTATGATCATAAATAAGTCACATCCTAAATAAATAACATATTTACTCTACAAGGTTGATATTATAATGAACACTTTACAGATGGAGAAACTAAGTCTTGGAGTGGTTAGGTAATTTGTCTGCATCACAAAGTTAATGAGAGAAAATGGAATTTGCACATATCTGTTTGATTGCACAATTAACAGCATCAGCTGTTATAAATGAGGGCCTGGAATTATAAGTAGAAAGTTAACTTCTTCCACACAAGGATCTGAAACCTTAGATTATAGAAGACCTGTATTCCCGATGACCCTGTTATTTGCTCTCTCTTCTGCTCTTTTTTATTCCCCCTGAAACAGTTATTCAAGGTTCCACATGAAAGTGAGGGAAACAGAAAAAGAAGAAGCCTCCCTTTGTCCTATCCAATCTCTTGGTATTGGTCCCAATAGGAAGGAAAGATGGAGAATAGATGTAAAATTCTGGAGCTACAAGTGAAAAAAAAAAAACCCAGTGAAAAGTGTTGGACTTTATTAGAGGAGGATTATCCATTCTCTCTCTCCAGTTTCTCCAGTCTAATTAGTATAATTATTAATTATGAAGTAATCAAATGGCAACCACCATGAAGAGTTAAATGAATAACAATATATTGTAAGTCAAAACCAGAATTTCTGTTGCAGCTTAATTTCTATTTCACTGTATAATCTGAGGCAAATCACTTCATCACCTTGGGCTCCATTTCCTCATCTGTAAAATAACAAAACTGATCTGGATTCCTTTAAAGTTATCTTTCTGCCCTTACACTTTATATGCTCCTGTGATTGCTGGTGGAAACTAAAGTATTTAATAAGATAGCTTCCTACCCACCCCTACCAAGTTCTTGAATAACAAGAAGAAGAGATAACCTAAGAGGCTCAGTCAGTTCTGTCCAGCTTCCAAGATAATCTCATCCTGATTCACAAACTTTTGACAAGTCCAACAAACTTACTTATATTGCAACTTTCCACATGAAAAACATTATTTACATATAGTCATTTCATCATTCATTTATGCAACACACATATGTGTATTGTGTGTGTGTGTGTGTGTGTGTGTGTGTGTATAGATCTCCTCAAAAATGTCAAGCTTTATACTAGGCACTTGGGATATACATCTGAACAAAACCTCTGCCCTCATGGAGCTTATATTCTGGCTTGAGGAAAAAAATATTTTAAACAACTACACCAATCATAAACATGCAAACAGGTCAGTTTCAAGAAAGTTATTGTGAATACAAAAATGATGTTAGTGCATTGTACAATTTCCAGCCGGGAAGGATTACAATCCAATTCACATTGTAAATGTAACTTTAGCTCCTCGATGAAGGATGTCTTATGAGGCTGTGATTGAAGTAATTAATGGAAAGCAGAATCACAGGACCAGAAGGAAATAATGCTGTCCATTCCCCAGCTTTCAGTAAGCTCTGCCTTTAGCTCAATTCAAGATGGATATGAATCCATCATTTTTCCAAAATTCCCAGGAGGCCAGGGAGCTAGAGGTATCTCTGCCTGTGGTTTATCAATGGGCAGAATGAGCATCCAGGGAAGCCTCAGTCAGCAGGCCAAAGTCAGGCTTCCTCAGAAGGTGCAGGGCACAGCTGTACAGCATTCAGATATTTTTGAATCACAGTTGGAAAAGCAGTCATCTGGCAATGTAGCCTAAACTGGCTCCTTGGGGATGAAGGCATAAGACATGGATCAGCTCTTTCTTCTAGGAGCACAAAGCACTTGAAACAACTTATGTTAATCCTGTGATTTTCAACCTTAGCTCCAAAAGGCAGCAAAGATTTGGCATAAATAACAATAATAGTTAATATTGAGCAATAACTGAATGCCAGGAGCTATCTGCTGAATCCTCAAAATAGCCTATGGCAGGAACTAGTCATTATTATCCTCATTTTACAGATGACGAAATTAAGACACAGAGAGGTAACTAATTTTTGCTGAGCACAATGATAGAATGTGACATTCTATCCAGGAACTTTGCTGACATCATATTTCCAAAATTCCATAAAAGCCTTGCAAGATAGGCAGCAAGGTCTTCATTTTTACAGGTAAGAAGCACAGATCCAGTAATATTAAATAACTTATCACAGACCAGGAGGCAGAAAATTGCAGGAGCTAGCATTCAGCCCAGACTCCTGACACTCACTCTGCTTGCCCTACTCCATCCAAAAGTGAAGTCAGGAGAATCAGGACAAGACCTAGGTCCTCAACAGCGCTAGCCACTAGACAACTCTCTCTGTAATGGGTAAATAGGAAGCTTCAGATGATTCTCCTTGCCAAAGCAATGGCATGTATGCAGCTAAATCATGCTGGAGCTCAAGGACCCTGACTTTCTTGGGACTGATAATTCCCTGGCTATTAGCTACTATTCCTCAGCCATTAATATTACCAAGCTTCTTCCTGCTCAAGGTGACAAGCATAAACTTTGTGACTATTTCCTCTTTCAGGAATGCCAGCAGAGACCACCATGGCTGTTTGCTCCATGATCATGGGTGGGGTGTTTGAGAAGTTTCCCAAACTGAAAGTGTGCTTTGCACATGGAGGTAAGACCATGTTTGCATTACTCAGCTCAGGTTGTCATAATAAAATGCCATATATGGGGTGACTTAATCAACAGACATTTATTTTCTCACAGTCCTAAAAACTGAAAGTCCAAGATCAAGGAGTCAGCAGGGTTGGCGTCTAGTGAGAGTTCTTTTCCTGGTTACAGATGGCTGCCTTCTCATAGTGTTCTCACATGACCCTTTTCCTGTGCATGCATGGGTCAGGGATTAGAGTGGGGTGATTGGAGAGTTCTAATATTTCTTCCTTTTCCTACAAGGACATCAGTCCTACTGGATTAAGGGCCCCACCCTCTGACCTCATGTAACCTTAATTACCTCCTTAAAGTCCTGTCTCCAAATATAATCACATTGGAGGTTAAAACCTCAACACAGGAATCCTGGAGGGTTACACTTCCATTCATAACATCCTTCCAGTCACCTTTCTAGTCATATGATGTATGGGGACCAAATTCCATTTCTGTAAGCAAATTTAGTTTGGTTGGCACGGTTTTCATTTTACTTTGTTTTTTATTTAAATCCCTCTAGTCAAGCAAAGTAAGGGGAAAAGCAGGGGCAGAGCCCATGAAAACAGAGGGAAGATCAGTAGAGGAAGGAGATTGAGTGGGAGAGAGGAGGAATAGAAAACGTGGAATGAATTTGACAAAAGTATATTGTGTACATATATGAATATACCACAGTGAGTTCCACCTTTATGTATATCTATAAGGCACCAATTTAAAAGATAATAAATAGAAGCGAAACCAATAGAGTGGAGGAAGGGGAATGGAAAAGGAGGAGCAGAGGGAAAGAAGAAGTACCAGAGACTGAAATGGAGCAAATTATATTCCATGCATGTATGATTATGTCAAAATGAACGCCACTATTATGTATAAATATAATGCACTAATAAAATATTCTTAAAAATAAATAAATCCCTCTACTCAGACTATGAGCTCTCCAGTCCCTAATATGCCACCATGATTTTGATATCACTCAACTGATAGGTCATCTCAATATTTTGCTATGATAACCACATTAAATTTGAAAAGCTTATATCTTTACATACTTGTCTACTCTCTTTGGCACAAATTCTTCAGAAATTTGGATTTCTGGATATATTCATGCCATTTTTCCCAAGTCATCTTCCAGCATTTGGAACCCAGCAGGTCCTTTATAAATACCTAATCAGCTGGGCTATGGAAACTTCTCCTTAGAACATCAGGATTTAAAGGAATTCTTTTCAAAAAATACTGGGGATTGAACCCAAGGGTGCTTTACCACTGCGCTATATGCTCATTCCTTTGTTTGTTTGTTTGTTTGTTTTGAGACAGAGTCTTACTAAGTTGCTTAGGGCCTCACCAAGTTCCTGAGGCTGGCCTTGAATTTGCGATCCTTCTGCTTTAGCCTCTGGAGTCACTGGGATTACAGGTGTGCGCCACTGCACCCAGCAAAAGGAATCCTTTTTAATCAACGCTAGCTGCTCAGTAATGAGTTTTACTTGCAGGTGGTGCTTTCCCTTTCACAGTGGGAAGAATTTCCCACGGATTCAACATGCGTCCAGATCTGTGTGCCCTGGACAATCCAACTGACCCGAAGAAATACCTAGGCTCCTTTTACACAGATTCCTTGGTTCATGATCCTCGATCCCTCAAGCTGTTAGTAGATGTCATGGGAAAGGTAAGCTAGGTTTGCTATTTGGATGGTTTATGCAGAGCACAAATCTGTAACCAGTTACTTGGCAAGTTAAGTAAAGGCCAATGTGAATTCATTTTTTAAAAAATTAACTATTTAGTATAGTTGTCCCTTGATGTCCAAAAGGAATTGGTTCCAGGATCACCAGAGTTACCAAAATTCTCAGATGTTCAAGTCTCTTACATAAAATGGCTTAGTATTTGCATATTTCCTACATACATCTTCCTATATATTTTTAACTCATCTCTAGATGACTTATAATATCTAATACAATGAAAATACTAAGTAAACAGCATAGTTATACTTTGCTAATATAGTAAATAGTCGTTACACTGTACTGTTGAAGGAATAGTGACAATGGGGAAAGTCTGTACATGTTCAGGGCAGAAGCAATTTTTTTTTCCAAAATATTTTCAATCTATGCTTGGTTGAATCCAAGAATATAGGACCCAAGGATACATAGGACCAACTAGCCATTATTTCAGTTCCATTTTATTACTTACAGCTATCTATAGAAGGTTTTCAAATTTTTCCATGGAAAAAAATTGGGGGACTCTCTTAAAAGTACATGGACATAGTAAAAGATTTGTAATATGGTACTTGAATTGAAATCTAAATCTTTAAAAATCTTGCTCTTGGGGTTGGGGTTGTAGATCAGTGGTAGAATACTTGCCTAGCACATGTCAGGCACTGGGTTTAATCCTCAGCACCACATAAAAATAAGTAAATAAAACTAAGGTATTGTGTCCACTTATAACTAAAAAATTATTTTAAAAAAAATCTTGCTCTCTAGAAAAAAGAGAAAGTTGCAAGTAGTGTTCTATCTCTGGAATAGATACTTCATCTACTTTAATGCTCTTTCTCTGGTTTAAGAAAATCACTAAAATATGATTGTTAAAAATTCTAGTTTGGGAATAAATTATATTAATCCCTCCTTATCCAAGGGGGATACATTCCAATACCTACAATGAATGTCTGAAACCAACATAGTACCAAATCCTATATATAAGCACTGAGATATTACAGCAGTCAGTCTGATAACAGGATGGTTACCAAGTGACTATTACGAGTAGTCTAAACAGCCTGGATACTCTGGACAAAGGGATAATTCATTTGGACTGAACAAAGTGGGACAGTGCAAGATTTTATAATTCAACTCATAATGACATATAATTTCAAACGTATGAACTGTTTATTTCTGGAATTTTCCATTTAATATTACTTTAGTGTAAATAACCAGGGTAACTGAACCATGGAAAGCAAAATACCAGGTAAGGGATACTACTGTACATAGTTGAACTGTGCCTCTGAGCTATCTAGCTTCTGTGTTGTCTCTGTGGAGCCAGCAGTTGATGGTGATTATTGATTCTTTTTCGGTTTGGATGGAGGTTGACAGGGAAGTATGTAAACAGGAAACCACACAGAAGAGAAGCTGAAAGAGACTTTCTGGGCCCTAGACTTTCAGCAACGAAGGAGGGGAATAGGGAAAGTGGTGGGAAATTGGGGAAAGTTCCATTCTCATGATATCCCTTCAAGCCTAGCATTCTTGGAAATGAAAACATTAGAAGAAAATACCTTTAGCACATACAAAGCCCATCTTCTGAGAAATACCATCAGAAGTGAGGAATACCATTAGCATCTCAAACAGTACTGAGTGCAATACACATTATTCAGGGAGCCAAAGCAGAAGAGGAAGAAAATGACAAGCACCTTAGGATAACCAGAGGTTAGACTAGTTGGTGAACATATGGGAGTACATCTCTAGTAGTACTCCTAGTAAAACTCAGAAGGCATTTTGCAAATATAATTATACTGAGATTTTGCATTCAAATTGTGAATGCTTGAACTACTAAAATTTGGACATCAAAAGTTAACATATCCTTGGGGCTGACATTGTCGCTCAGTGGTAAAGCGCTTGCCTAGCACATGTGAAGCACTGGGTTCAATCCTCAGCACCACATAAAAATCAAGAAATAGAATAATAAAGGTATTGTATCCATCTACAACCAAAAAAAATATTTTTAAAAAAAGTAAATGTAGCCTCATTTACTCACAGGCTGGTCAATTCAGGACATAGAAGATATATATATATATTATATATGTGTGTGTGTGTGTGTGTGTAAACTCCAAAAACAAACTCCAAATCGAGAATAGCTAAGAAAAGTTCTAGCAGTATATATGGGCAAGAGAGTAACCTATCCAGATTGCAACAAGAAAACAGGTTCCTGAGGAATGAGGTCCCCAGGAAGGAAAAAAAAATGAAACTGATGGATTATGTAATGCATTTAAGAGGTAGAAATGATTATTTCCAAATATTAAATAGAACTGTTGGTGTGTTAGGAACAAAATAACAGTACATACATAGAAAATTAAACCAATGAAAGAAAAGGAAGTAACTCCAAGTAAACAAAAATCTGTATGGGGGCAGATAATCATTGTACATTATTTGACTCAGCATTAAACAATCAGCACTATACTTATCATCATACATGTATAAGTACTAAATATTGGCTTTATTTAAAATTGTAATTCAATCAAGAAAATAGAGAAGTTGAGTATAAGGAAGAGATTTCCAATGACCATAATGGGAAATCAGTAAATATTCTTCAAAGCTAATGAATCAAGAAATGATAAGCGGGCTGGGGATGTGGCTCAAGCGGTAGCGCGCTCGCCTGCGCGGGTTTGATCCTCAGCACCACATACAAACAAAGATGTTGTGTCCGCCGAGAACTAAAAAATAAATATTAAAAAAAAATTCTCTCTCTCTCTCTTAAAAAAAAAATGATAAGCATATTATCAGGGAATATGAATGTAGTTATTGGAAGATGTAAGTTAAAAAGGTGAAAGTGGCTACTTTAAAGGATAAGAGTTAAGAAAGTGGCACAGGACTGTTTTTGATAATATATTTTAGTAATATTTGCTTAACTATGTACAGGTGTTATTTGGATAAATCACAATATTAAACCATATTATAAAACTAAATATATATTACATATTGTAAAAACAACCATTTTTAGTATCTATAAACAGACATATATATAAAGTATATTTTCTTTTTTTAATATTTATTTTTTAGTTGTAGTTGGATACAATAACTTTATTTTATTTATTTATTTATTTATTTATATGGTGCTGAGGATCAAACCCAGGGCCTCGCACATGCTAGGCAAGTGCTCTTCCACTGAGCCACAATCCCAGCCCCAAAGTATATTTTCTTATCTTTATTTTATTTATTTACTTATATGTAGTGCTAAGGATCGAACCCAGTGCCTCACAAATGCTAGGCAAGCACTCTATCACTGAGCCACAACCCAGCCCCTAAAGTATATTTTTTATGATTGTGTGTGTGTGTGTGTGTTTGTGTGTGTGTGTGTGTGAATGACAGATTTTTAGAGGTCACTCATGTACTCATGATGATTATGTCATAATTTTGGCTAGACCCATTTGTAATCTATCACTGCATAAGTAATCACTTCCAATACTTAGCAGCTTGAAATAACAATTATTATCTCTCATGATCTCTGTGTGCCAGCAATTTAGAAGCATAACTATCTCAAGGTCTGTTAAAAGTCTGCAGGCAAAATACCAGTCAGGACTGTAGTCACCCAAGGCTTGACTAGGACTGAAGGATTTATTTCCAAGGTAGATTTTACTTATGGTGGGACTCCTCAGTGTCTCTCCAGGTGGGTCTCTCTGGAGATCTGCTTGAGTGCCCTTACATATGGCAGGCAAGTAGTTCACCCATCAATGAGAGAGAAAAATAGGGAGTTAGCAGATAAGGGAAAAGAGAAAGCCCACTAGACAGAATCTATCCATTTATGACCTAGAGTCAGAAGCTACATAGTATTAATTTAAAACCACCACATTCCACCCTCTGGCCACAAATTACTTATATTCCTTATAAATGCAAAATATCCTTTCCCCTGCTAAGACTGCTCCAAAAGTCTGATCATTTATGGTATCACCTTGAAATCTAGAATGTCATTGTTTAAAAGAACTTGTAGATAAAGCTCATAATGTACAATTTCTATCAAGCTGAAGAACTGCAAACCAAAAAGACAAATCCTTTTGCTCCCCCTATACTTAATAAAAAATGATAGGACAGGCACAGGATATTTGCTATATAACCTCCAGTTTCAAAAGGGGGAAAACAGGAGGTTCAGCAGAGACTCTAGTCACTAGCAAATCTGAAACCCATCAGGAACATGTTGTCATCTTCTTGATTAGAACTCAAAGGATAGGAATGTTTCACCATGGTTCTTGATTCTACAATCTGAGTCATCTTTTTTCCACAAATGTTAGCTTGAGTTTATAATGGAGTACTTTTTATAGACTGCTTCATGTTTGTACAAGATTTGGAGTGCGAATGTCTCTTTTCAAAAATTTTCATTTTCTTTCAGCCCAAACTGTTACTACAATTCTCTTTAAAACTTTGTGGATCTTTTATGAATCTTACTAAGTTTCACACCATTGGGCAAAAATTTTACCTACAAATCTCTGAGACTAAGCTCCCTAGAAGATCTTATTGTTTAAATGGTTCTTTGAATGCTGCCTAAGTCATTTCAGGTCATAACAAAAACATAGTCACATCTTGGCTTCACTTTTATATTATGTTTTTCCAATTGTGCATTGTTTTTAATCTTTACCAGAAAGCAATTTCTTTGTTTTAGCATCATTTGTCATTGGAAGAGTTGGGAATTTTCTTTTTCTTTTTAATATTTATTTTTTTAGTTTTAGGTGGACACAATATCCTTATTTTACATTTATGTGGTGCTGAGGAATGAACACAGTGCCTCGTGCATGCTAGGCAAGCACTCTACCACTGAGCCACAATCCCAGCCCAGAACTGAGAATTTTCAACCCAACAATTCCTGTCTCCTTACATGTAATTGCCCTTTCTTTCAGGTGCTCCTTCTGCATTCTAATGTAAGCATCAAGAAGAAACTAGGCAGCACTTTCTTCAACTTTATTGATAAAGCCTTCTA